ATATTACCTATCGTTGTAGGAGGATTGCATTCCCCGGTGATCTCGTCGTATACAATACCGGAATCCCTCATTTCTGGAGAGTAAATGAATTGATAATGAAAACACAGTATTGGTCCATTGTCCTTCTATACGTTACATACGTACGCTATGATAATACACATCCTGTGATAGGGCTGTAGAAACACACCAAAAACTCAGTTACTGGAAATTAATTTATTTTAGCAGGAATTCATTTTCGCTGGCTGTTTTGTATGGAATTTATTTTCACTGATCTTTGATAAGTTGAATGTAAAATATAGTAAAAAGAACATATTCGCTAGGTTTTATTTTCACTGAATCGTCCCTTCAGCGAATATAGCGATAATTTAACCCAAGCGAAAATAAAGTATTTTAAAGTATCAGAGTTAGACTGGCGCCATCACACGGCACCTTTTTCACGCTGCCACGGTGCTTATACGGGCCGTTGGGGGAGGTGATCAACAATATCCATTGTGAAGCCATTGTTATGTATATTTCTATGTGTGACAGGTAAATAAGGAAATTGGATAAGGAAAAAAACGTCTGTATTTTTGTCATGTGAAAATTGTCATGAAAATGTCGTTTAACAAAACAAGTATTTGATAAACTCGACAATATTAAGTCTTGTCGCCAACAGAATACCAGAAAAGTGAATAGAATAAATGAATGTATTAATGGCCAATTGAAACGACTGCACTATGCACGACTGTGTCTGTTAATGACAAATGATATTATGTAAACTGAATTTCGGACAAACTTTGTGTGTCTAAAAATATTGATTTTAACTCCCCCAAATATCACGGGTATAGTAAGCGTAGTTCTCCGAAATAACAATGTTATGTGTTTTATATAACATATTTACCTGGCTTTTCTCCGCCATTCATGCTGTGAACTAATTAGAGACATCAACAATCAAGACACAGTTATGATGATAAGTGCGTGCTTATCCATGGATATTTGACGCATTAACAACAGTCGTAAACAACCTGTGATAATCCAGCTAAGGAAATTCTTCAAGTTATGTTCAAGGAAGTAGAAAATTCTATTGTCTACTTGAGAACAATAACCCAGCTATTTTTAGCTCACATTAATGTCCTAAACAAGGCAGTCGTCGCAAAACGTACGGCAGAGTCGCAAATACCTGGTTACGATATATGCTCGGACACCAGTGGTCTTTATTCACTTAAACAACTCCATGGTTATGTACCGTTAGTTTGCATTCTGCCTCGTCCCTGTTTTTCAGCCATGCCTTGTTTTATCTACTCACTGTAGCTTATTGGTACGCAGACGCTTTCTTTGTTTAAAATCTGTTTGGTTTACTGGTCAATCGGTCAGTTTGTAACATGAATCCTTAAATTTGGCAAACGACTTGACTAAATGCAGTGTATAATCTTGAGGAATATAATAATAGACTGAAGTGTTTGAATTGAATTGAGACAAACAGTAAGCTATAACACGTATTAGTAATTCTGTGTCAACTAAGTAGTTGCATAGCGACCCCCATGCCTTTCAAGGGTGTACTCGGAATGGCTGGATTCCAGACTACCAAACCAAAGACTCCTTTCCCCGTAGAAGTGACAGGGCTATTTTGAAAATATTATATGATGATTAGGATGAGGAAAGCACATATGATAAAAAAATATATATAATTCAATGCATTGATAAAATCTTACAATGGAAATACATTGCGCGTTACGTTTTGGTGGCTCGAAAGCTCGGTTAAAGCTTTCAATGTCGTGTCGGTATACACGTCCAACGTGTCTCGTGATTTTGTCTCAGGCGTTCACCCATATTACGATTACCCTCCCCTCCCCAAACAGACGTGTGACGTTATGCCTACGTTGATTTCTAGAGCTGCGTTCTGAAAGGCAGTATATCATGTGTCAAATAAAGTTACAGCAATTACACAATGGTTCAAAAGCGCCATAGACGTGCAGTGAGCGTACGAGTTTTGTGCACACAAATAATGCATTAGATTAGATACGCCGCATGGGGCCCATATCGAACCCGACGCGGCATGACGTCATATTCATAGAAATATTGGCATTACTTTCTAAAGCTCAACATAACATTTCTTTTACTCATAAGAAATCTCATATTAGGAATTAGCCCACTTCGTAACTTCGGTGACACTCTTGTTTCAAATGTAAGAAACATATGTACCAACCATCAAAGACACATATATTACTATGACAATCGTCTTCCGGGTCACATGCGTGTAAATTTTAAATGTAGTATTTTTTGGGTATTTTTGGTAACAGTATTGTGAACATACATACTAATATAATGTGACCTTGACATTTGACTTTGAAATGTAACTAGGGGATGAAATCACATAAGGAGTATTTATAAGTTTGAAGATGGTTATTCCCTTATTTTGCTAAAATTTTAATGTGCAACGCGTTTTGGGGCATACAACCCTTTTTCGCATTACCTATTCAAGAATTAATGTAAGGAAATATTCTTTTTTCCTCGAGTCCTATCGCAATCAATTTATTTTTTTAATAGGTTTAATGTTTTTAAGACTACTATATTGAAGTTTTTTAACAAGTAATTTTGTTGTTTGTTGGTTTTCTTTATTTGTGTGTAATGTAAGATTTGTTTAACCCATTTTTGTGTATTTCTGTATTTTGTGGATCCTGTAATTGGGAATTTTGTCCTGTAGGTCATCCGATTGAATAAATAAATAAAATAAAATGAAAAATACACATTACGACTCTGAAATGTGACCATAACATTGTTATCGGGTAGTGCGAGTCGTTTAGGAAACGTGTATGCCAAGTTTAAAGTTGCTAGTCATTCTCTTTGTAGTTCATACTGAACAAAAACTACGGTGACCCTGACATTTGACTTATGTCCCGAAAATATACTTATGTTTTGAGAGTCGCATGGAAAACATGTATGACAAGTTTAAATTTCATTCTAGAGTTATATAACGAATATTCATAAATCCAAACTGTAACTTTAAACTTTGAGTCCAAAAGGACGTACAAATCACACGGGGAATATGTGTGCTAAATGTGGAGGGGCTGGTTATTTTCCCATGTAATTATTGTACGAAAAAACATACCGTGGTCTTAACCTTTGACATTTTATTTCTAAAATTCATGTTCTGTGGGTTGCATCGGGAATATGCGTTCCAAGTTCGAAGTTCATAGCTATTCCATTGTAGCACAATAATGCGCTCAGATGTTATGAGTCACATGGGGAAACAAATTTGCACAGACTCTGGATACGAGTACCCCTTGTAGTTATATACGATGCATACACTCGTACTGTGACCTTAAATTTTGACCTCAAAATGTAGCCAGGACTTGTGAATTTTTCCCATTTTTTTATATTAAATAGTTTAAAAACACATGATGTGATGTTTACCTTTGATCTTTTGTTCCTGACAGGTTGCTGGTCATGTGGGTGATGTAGGGATACAATTTGAAATCTGTATTTATTTATTTTTCCTTTCAAGTTATAACATGGACACATACACACGGCACTGAGTGCCCTATCGAGTGCGAGTATTAAATAATGCGAAACATGATGTTTATGATAGTTAAGCATGGTATGCTTCGTGATGACAGAAATAATTCACAGTTGTTTTTTTTCACTTGACAATATCACCCTAGTTGAATGTGTTATGTCTTACTTAAAAAAAAAGGAAATGTACATTTAAGCCCGAACCAGCGGGTAGAAAAAATGAAAATATAAGATATAGTTTTAAAAAATACGTCTATTATCCAGTCTGTTGGCAGTCTGTCTGTTTGACTTCAAAGGGTATTATTATTTCCCGTGGACCATTAGACAAATGCGAAGTATGCAATGGTAATATTGTGGGTGGGTCTGGACGTGTATGCATTTCCACCATTCCCAATGATTCATGTTGTACCAGAGAAATTACTGGTAACATCAATGTCATAATTACAACACTTATTGGACAAAGCTGATGCAAAAATACAGGGAGCTTTCCATGATTCTGGCACTGTTCCAATTACATGACTGGAGGCATTTCAACAATTGGCAACTACGAGTTAATTTCTAACTTGGTATCCAACATCATCGCCAGACTCTAAAGCGAAACAATGAAAGATGGATGGAGATGCTTCAATGATTTGTGTATTGAGTGAGAGGCGTTGATCTTTTCATTTTATATGTCTCCTTATAACCTACTGAAATTTGAACAAATATTTGACCTGCAAGACAGAGTAAGGTAGCAGTCTTTCGTTTTCTGACCGCTATGCTCTGTCGGAAGATCAATGCGTTTTACTACCCTGGAGACCAGGTTTGATTTGTTGGTGAAAAATCAAAATGCCTGATTTGATGCGAACGTGAGAACATAAAGTTTCGTTATTCGTTAATAGATAAATGAGTCACATTTTCAAAATGGTGATCTTGTGATTTCACCTCGTTCTCATCCCTTCTTCAAAAAAATAAATAGCAGGTCTAAGTTTGTTCTTGTTCAAGCTTTATGATTTTGCAGACACACCTCTTCTATAAATGTTGTAGTATTTTGGTGCTGATTTTTTGTTCTGAGAGTTTTCACCGTGGTGGTTGCAGGGCGATAAAAATGCCCGAACGAGAAGAACGTGAGAGCGCCACCAGTTTTGAGTATGTCATTACATTATTACTAACAAGCAGGGAAAACATGTACGAAAACGCATCGTACAATCTGTAATGCCTTCGTGTATACTTTGCCGTAATCTTTATAAATAATTTCATAATATCTTTTTTTTGTTACAAATATGCCGTCTAAAATGTACTGTAAAACATGTTGAAATAGCTTTTTGACATTTTAGCGAATTATCTCAATGTATGTTTTAACAGAATTTTAATTTAGCTAAAGTGTCAAAAATCTAATTGTTGGGGACGTCTTGATTACACATTAGCTAAATTAGCTAAAATAACATGCTAGCCAAAATACATGTTTAAAGTATGTTAGAAACAGTATAAAATTATGGCATATTTCAATATTACAGGTTTCAAAAATTCTATTCTTCGTCAAAAATACCGCTGTCTCTCCCCTTGTGGTTAGTATCCTGTTGTCGTTGAATCACAATCGCTGATTTCATGTGGCAGTTGGTTAAGTCTTCATTATTGGTATGTGATGGAAGAGAAACACCGGCACCAGCTGTTATCTTCGAATCTGCAATATATTGATAGAAGTTATGGTATAACGAACGAATGGGGGAAAGACGGGAGAAAAAAAATAATTTTCCTCATTAAAATTCACTGTGTGCAATACATTTGGTTCATGATTTCGCCAGCTATGGGTAAACACATCCTGCACCCAAATTTGGCTCTGTGAAATCTTAAAAATACCATTTAATGCAAAAATATAACAAATGGATTTTTTAAAGCTGCTATCATTTTCACTGTCTGCGTATGTTGGTCAATGAACGTAGGTAGTTTCATCATAAGCTTATATGATTTATATATCTTTTTTAATTGAACTCTGGAGTCGCTTGAACACTCGTTCTAAAATACTTGTATGTGGATAAAGCACAAACAGATTTTAGATTATCGAAATGAATAAAATGATTCCTTTACCGGTCATCACAACAAGAGCGAGGAAACTGAATAAAAGGATATAATTACAGTAGTTTTCGAGGATGATACCAAATATATCCCTGCTCATCGATGTATAACTATTATGGAGAGTACATAAATGTGCGTAAATTTTTGTTGGGAGGTGGGAGCCCTCACAGTTTTCTGTGGGAGAGGCTTTCAGGTGAACTGAGAAAGAGGTTTCCAGATCTATCTCAAAGGAAACTGTGACGGCTTCCGACTTATGAAAAATACTAACCATTTTTGGAGCACAGCGAGTCATCTTCTACAATATTGCTAACAGGTTTTGAATTTGATACAACGGTTGTGACTCCGTCGTTTGGAGCTCTTCTCGCTATCACGGGTCTTTTCCCACTCACTGCGTTAGAACGTTTTCGTGGTTGACGGAACGACTTACTGCGGCTACACGATCTCGAAAGGCGTGGCTTGGGGAGCAGAGTAGTGGCTGCGGTGTTAATCTTTGCGTTTGCTGACATTTCGTCCGTTTTATTTTCCACGCGCAATTTGGAATCACTTATATTCACATTACTGTCGCCGATCGCTTCGTTATTCTCATCTGTATATACACCACTATCTATAGCAAAAACAGGTTATACGTGATTATAAGTATATTGTATGTTTGTATAAGGCGCGTAATGATTGCATTAAAAATGCAATATGGACGAAAACACATACACATCAGTATTCGTTAGATGAAAGATCATAACCACTAATACGCATGTGCAGTAATTGCTATTGTACGTTCAAAAACAACCAGTGCACACGAGTATTTGAGTATGTCATTGCTTCATCGAACGAATACTCATATGTGTGCTACAATGACGCCGTTTTCAGGTTATGATAAGTCCTAGTCCAATGTATTCATCAAGTATCGAGCAACAATATTCAAAAATACATATTCTCGTTCGAATTGCATTTTTAAAGGGCGGTTGTCGTCGTGCCGCGTCCTGTTCAATATGGGACTAATAGCGACGTACACAACGCGTGTAAAATTCGTTGTTTGTTTACATCAAATAGGTCCGATTTTGCGTTCAACTGTGAGATCTCGCGAGCTGCGTGAAAGAAGCGCGCCGAACGGCTGCCGCAAAAATTGAACGATTTGATTTTGAAATCGAATTATTTTATTTCGTATCTCACATCGAAAGGGCGATCGTTTGTCGAATCCCTTGCGATGTTTGTCGCCACTACGACGCTATGACCTTTGTTTGTCCTGTTTTACGTTGGATTTCACGCATAACGCGAGATCTCGCAGTGAACGGAAAATGGTCTATTCACAAGCTGCGCGACGACCACCGCCCTTAAGTTAAATTTGAACACATTTACATCACATTCATCTACGGTCTCAGTGTTATCATTTGTACATCGCACCACTATGCTCACCTGGCAGGTCGTCTGATCTGGCAATGTTTGGCAATGGCTTATGGGACGACTTCTGGCGAACCCGTGATTTCAGTGACCGGAATCGGGTCAGCATCGTGCGTGATCTGGAATCTATAGTTAAATAAATACAGTGTTTGGACTTAGGTTTGAGGTTGTTTCATTTGCTGGCAATATATTTAAACAGCTTGAAGTAATTTTGAACAGAGACCCATCGCCAGTAATTGAAATATATGCGATTTTGTTGGCATAAACGAAATATTGGCGATAAATTCACACTGGTTTCGATTGACGCATTTTTAAAACCCCGATCAAAGTCTGCTTGCGATTCAAGTCCAAATAATTAGTGAGCATTTCTATACGTCCTAAAGTCCCAAGTAAATATACTCACGAATCTTAGCTAGTTTAGTTGATAGAGGACCCGAAATAGCGTTTTCACGGTCACCGCACAAAAGCGATACGGACAGTCGATGTGTTCCCGCGTGTAATCCACTGAATGTCCATGAATTCATATTTGGTTTCACGAATTCGGTTATTCCAGAACGGTTGTTGTCACATCGTATGCACGTAACACGAAACGCAGTATGGTCGACCAAAGACGTCGAAAAACGAACACTGATGGAGTTGTGGGAAATGTTGACTATTTCAAAACAGTCTACGGCTGGAAAATCTAAAACAAAGAAAACTAAGATTTGTTATACATTTCTAGGAACATCATATATGTGAATTTCATATTGATCTGTGATGTGGTCTACTAAAACGGTAACTATTAGATTATAAGGACGTAAACAAAATCGAATATGTATGTTGACTAGATGTATTGCTGAGATACCATACCTTTAAATGTATTATGCCGTTCACGAAACTTCTGTGGTTTGCCAACAGTATCATTCGAGTCCGGCCCACCGTCGAGCTCTTCACTGTCTTCGCCCAATTCACTGGAAATTCGCTGAAATTCAGAGTCTGTAATCGTCACTTTGACAATGATGTCGTTGTCGCCGGCCATTTCCTTCACATCGTCTGTAATTAGTAGTTTGGTGAATAATTCCTCCAATTTCCCATTCCTACTATCACGAAGTAATGTTTTCACTCCATGCTCACCAGACACTTGTAAGTGCAATAATATACACGCAAAGTGAACGTCTACGACTGCGGCTGAATGTTCGCCCAGGACATCAAATGATTTGGTGATTTCACGAAGTTTGTGAGCAAGAAAGTGTTCTATTGTTGATTTGGTTTTCTCGTCAAGTTTGCCTCGTAAATCTAAATTAACTGAACAAGGTGGGTAAAAGTTTAATGCCATTGTATTAATTGAGTACTTTACAGAGCAAGTTTTTCAACATAAATATCCACGTAGGCACAACAAAAATGTGTAAAGAGCTAGGTTTAGTTCAGTTACCTGAAAGTTCGTACGTTTTCGTAGTTGGGTCTTTGGCATCCGGCCCCGCCGTAGTTTGACCTGGGATATTAAAGATACTATGATTTATAAGAAAAAAATGACAACGTGATGCATTTTCCATATTTAATTACCGTGTTAATGATCAGGATTTATATATGGTTTGTACAATTTGAATGGATGAAATAACAGAATGCAATTATACTTACATATTAAGTCTTGTTTGGGGACACCTTTCTTTTCACACTCGTCCAAGAGTTCCCACAAATGGTAATAATTTTCCTTCAACGAGTCTTTGAATATCACGTAGGCTTTTTGTGTTGGTGGCAGTTGGTAGATAAGAAGTTCTTCGGCCTGCTCACGTCGCGTTCGTCTCGACATAACACTGTCATAAGCGCTACCGGAAATGACTCCTGCGGCGATTAACCGGTCAGTAATATATTTTGCCTCCAGATCGTCAATGAGTTTAGTTAAATTTCGACGAAGAGGGTCAATTAATGGTCGCATTGATAATGATTTGAATTCTTTTAAAGTTGCGTTGTGTGTTGTGCAGATTATTCCTTTTTGTTCAAACATCTCTGCGAGGATGGACACTTTCATACTGAGCTCGTTCACGGACCTTATACGAGACATGTCTTCTTTTTCGATAATCCGGTCTTCGTATAGTTTCATCAAGTATAGCGGAAAGTCAGCTGAAAATATGAAACACAAATCATTAGACTGCTGTTCTGTATTCACATGCCCAGGAACACACAAAGATTTATAATGTGAAATAAAGAAATAATAACAACATTACTGTGTACCTTGGCAAAGACTTGACAGCGAAGATGTTGCACCGATAGGTTCGTGTAGTTTTTGACTCTCTTCTTCAAATACGTCCTCGTATTCACCGTCGCTGTGTTTGGGGCTGTTTTGTTTACTGTCATATTCAATACTGTCAGCACAGCTCTTCGCAGTGCTAGAAGATCTCTTGCCGCGGCGTCTTCTCGTGGGACGAGCGTCATGCTTCAATCGAATTGAGCAGCTTCGTCGACCTAACTTTTTTCCTTTGTGAGATGCCGAGCTTTTCCCGAAATAGCCGCTATCGCGATTTACCGAAGTAGCAGTCTGGTCGATGACTACTGCTCTTTGTGCGTGTACATCTTTCACGTAGTCTCTATTTTTGTCGTGTGGGTCCCCGTAATTTTTGCTCCCTAAGCATAAGATAAAAATTTAGTTAGCTTTGAATGCAGAATTGAAAAAAAAATAAGTTGTGATGTATTGTAAGTAAACTTGGTATTCTATTTACCACATATTGGGAATTCTAATTCTTGTTTACTGGTGTCCTTTTCTTTTCCACTGCTTCTTATATGTTCTTCTGATATGTTTCTGAGATGTTGTATCCCCGAATCTCGCGATTGGTCATTAACTACGTGCTTGCGTGGATGCGATATTTGGTTTTCGTCCTCTTCGTTACTTCTAGTAGTGCCTTGGTTCTCTTTCGTGACATCATCTCCAATGCCGGAATCCCGTACTGTTTCTGTAGGGACTAGTGATATGTGTACATCTCCTGAAAAAAAAAAACAAGTTTATTTATAACATCCTTACTACCTTGCGTCTAATGCCGCAAAAAATGGAAATACGAAATTACCATTCTGAAAATTTATTGGAATTGGGTAAGCTTTAGATCCTGTACGGATAAACATTGGGTGTGTTCGTTATTATTATTTCTAATTGGTACGGGGTTATTTCTATTTTAATGATTAACAATATATTGTGAACCCAACCCCCTTTCATGTCAACACTTCAATTGTACTGGCTGTTTCCCGCAATATTCAAATCATAGACTTTAAAAATACATTTATTTTTAAGATCTATGTTCAAACCTACAATAAGGTTGGCATATATTTAGTAACATATTATAATGACCTTGACCATGATAACCAAGCACAGTGGTTGTTTATCTTAATTATTATTATTTAACAGAAAGCACTGCAGTGCTGGGACTTTTAAACCCCCTAGACAAGGAAGGGTGTGCAATCACCAGAATGCACTATTATATGTATTCAGTTATTCAAACGCAAACACGCAACAAAATGAACTTTAGACTGGTTCAAACGTGATGTCGTGTATGTTGTTTTTTGAGAATGAGAACTTTGCACAGTTTTGCTTTTAGTCTCAAGCTATGAGTTGTAATGGCTCGGCAGTATATAAAG